TTCCTTGGTCAGGGTCTGTGCTTCCCCTTTGCTTCCTGCTTGGCCTGCAGAGTCAAGGTGCCCCTTTGTTCCTGCGCACACATGGTGACCTCTTCTTTCTCCTCCTTCACTTCTTTCCTGGTGGGATTGCCAGATAAAATACCAGATGCTCAATTAAATTTTTATTTCAGGGGCCTCCCTGGTGGCGTAGGGGTTAAGTCTCAGCGCTATCACGCTATTACCACTGAGGCCTGAGTTCAATTCCTGGCCAGGGAGTGAACCCACATGGTGCAGCAGACCTCTCCTGTCATGCCTGCTGCTCCCCTCAGCAGCGTATTTCAGTGGATCTGCCTGTTCTGCTCCCCTTTCTGTATCTGGTGAATCCTCTCATTCCCTGCACCTTTGGCCTGCATCCCACTCCTTGTATGCATAAAGAAATAAAAATAAATAAAGTTTGATTTCAGATAAACAGTGAATACTGTTTTTAGTATAAATATATCCCATACAACATGGGACACAATTATATTAAAAAATTACTCACCCTTTCCTCATATGAGGATACAAGACCCAGAAGAGGCCCTCACCCGACCATGAATAACTGCATTTAAAAGATTTTAAATATGGTGATATGAAGTTTAATGACACGTTTTATTTAACCCACTATATCCAAAATAATACTTTGATATATAATCAATGCAAAAATTATTCACAAGATAGCTTACTTCTTTTTGTGTTTGTGAAGTCTTGGAAATCTAGTGTCTTTTACACTGACAGCACATCTCGATTGGGATTTTCCATGTTCAGGTGCCCAATGGCCATGTGCAGCAGCACAGAGCTGGAGGTGTAGACCAGGGCCTGTGGAATCCGCCTGGCCAGGCTCTGCTGCCCACAAGTACCTTAATGTCTTTGGGCCAATTTCTGCCTCTTTAAAAGGAACTTGAAGGGGCATCCCTGGTGGCACAGGGATTAAAAACACAGCGCTATCAAGCTATCACCAGCCACTGCAGCAAGAGTTCGATCCCTGGCCAGGGAGCTACCCACAGGGCGCAGCAGACCTCTCCTGTTTCTCCTGCTGCTCCCCTCAGCAGTGTATTTCAGTAGATCTGCCTGTTCTATTATCCGCTCTGACTCTGGCGAATCCTCTCACCCCCTCACCTCTGGCCTACACTCCAGTTCTTGTATGCATAAATAAATAAATCTTTAAAAAATAAATAAAATGAGCATGAAAATAGTCTCCCTCTATGTCAGGCATGACTCAACCATATAACAGAGTGATCTCCATAAAAAGAGGAGGTTCCATGTCCCCTGCCACTGTGTAGGAAAAACAGAGGAAGACTTGAAAGAGGACAGGAGACATGTGGAGCTGAGACATGTAGAGGCACTTGGAAGAGCCGAGAGAGAGAGACCCATGGGGAGGCTTACAAAGACAGTCTGTAATTTGATTTGTACTTTGGTTTTGCTCCTTTTATCCCAGACTTGTCTGGCCCTTCTGCCCCTTCCCCATGGTTCCCGGCCAGAAAATGCCTCAGACTTGTGGCAAATTTTCAGGCCTCAGTGGTCCCACTTTGGGCCAACCCTCTTTGACAGGGCATTTACCCACAAGGTGATGGGTAACTTTGGGTGTTTCATTGGGAAACTATTATCCTTTTTTGTTCTTCTCTGTCTATGCACACTCATCCTATTAAAGTTCTTTCACACTAAGAGAATGCTTTATCTTTATTCGGTGGATGGTGGAACCTATTTAGAGTGTATAGGTCTGGGGGATCCCTGGGTATCCTTCAGTCTGCCCACTAACACATGTATTAGCCCTTTCCATTCTCACAACACTGTTACTTGTTGATGACAATGGTGATGATTATCCCCATCTTACTAAAGAAAAACCCAAGGCTCAGAGAAGTTAAGTAACTTTCCCAAGGTCACACAGCTTGCTTGACCAGGAAGTCAGAAATCGACTCATTCAGAGTCATTTGACTCTTTCAGAATCCAGAGATCTAGTTCTTGACATTGTGCCTCCCTTCTCTTTTCCCCCACTAATCCCACTAGAGTTTTCTTTTGATGCCAGGAGTAACTTCTTTGCTGCTGTGGTTTCCTTACAATCTGTAACTGTGGAAGCATAGGAAGAGAAGAGATGTCTTCACTTTTGTGCCCTGGGCATTCCTGCCTGTGCCTGTACTCTGGGAGTTTGCCCTCCTCTACTCTTCAGTTACTGAATTGCCCCACCCCTCATCAGACTGGTTATGATATACTTTTTTTGGCATTAGTCACAGTGATGGGCCACACCCACGTTGGGGAGAGTATGGGAGCCACCCTAGGTATCATGGCTGTGCCCAGCCTATCTCTCACCAGGGGTCATCCTGCAGCTAGCCTGTCTCCACCATGCAGTCTCCTGCTAGCTGCAGTGTTGGTGATCTTTCCTATCATGTTCTCTCTAGTTCTGGGGTCTTCTCCTGAAGATTGGGACCAGCACTCAAGAAGGATTGAGCCCGGGGGATCAGGATAATCTCTCTCTGAGGGTCTTTGCTCATTCTTCTAAGCACCATCCGACATGTCCCAAGGCCTGGTCTAGACTAGAGATCCAACCCGGAACTTCAGCAGGCAGAAAGGTCAGTGGACTTCCTGTGGTTCCTGGCTTGCACCTGCCCTGCTGTAAATAGTTCTCTTCACCCTCACCATCTCCCCCCCACCCCGAGGTAGACACCCAGATCCTGATACCTGGATGTTTGTGGTGCCCTCCTAATAGCCATTCCTGTTATGGCATTCAAAAACTAGTTTAGTCTCAACATGGTATAGATCTTTCTTAAAAATTTAGTGGACTCTATGTTTTGGAGCACTTTCAGATCTCCAGAAAAATTATGTATTAACTCCTGCATACTCTAACCCCCTCCCTCCAGAGTTTCCTCTACTATTGACATATTTTATTACTAGTGTGGTCTATTTATTATAATCAATGACTGAATATTGATAAGTTATTATTATTATTTTAAAAGATTTATTTATTTATGCATACAGGAGCTGGGGTGTAGGTCAGAGGTGTGGGGGTGAGAGGATTCACCAGAAACAGAGTGCGGAGCAGAACAGGCAGATTGACTGAAATACACTGCTGAGGGGAGCAGTGGGAGAGACAGGAGAGATCAGCTCCCTGGCTGGGGGATCAAACTCATGCTGCAGTGGCTGCTGATAGCTTGATAGTGCTGAGACTTAACCCCTTGCGCCACCAAGGAGACCCGATAAGTTATTGACCAAGGACGGTAGTGCACATTGGGATTCACTCTTCGTGTTGTACAGTTTTGTGGTTAAGAAGACCCATGTATGTCATTAATCCACCATTTTAGTATCATAGAGGTTGTTTCCATGCTCAAAAAATCCTCTGTGCGCCTTCTATCCATCTTTCCCTCTTTCCCCCCCATTCCCACCCCTGGCCCTTGGAAATCACTGATTTTTTTACTGCCTTCATAGTTTTACCTTTTCCAGAATGTCACATGCTTGGATTCATACAAAATGAAGCCTTTTCAGCGGTGTCTTACACTTAGCCACATGCATCTGTTTCTCCACGACTTATCAGTATTTGGGCTCATTTCTGGCAAACATTCCTGTCTTCATAGAGGCCTTCCCTAAGTGGATCTTCTAACACTCATTCTTTATCTGACTTTGTTTCGCTGCCTGGCATATGTATTGAATTTATTTGTTGTCTTCCCCAATAGGCTATACGCCTATTGGGCGTATAGGGAGGGGCTGTATTTTATTCATTACCTGGCACAGCCTGGCAATATTTGATGAATGAATTTGTGTAGGGCACTTTACTTGAGTTTTCATTTAATCCTGACAAGAAACACTGGAACTGAGGACTGTTTTCTCCCTGTCTCTAGAGGAGAGATGGAGGGCCAGAGGGGTCAAGTGCTTGCCCCTGTGCTGTGCTAGTGTGTGTCCGTCCTTCCTTCCTTCCTTCCTTCCTCTTTCTTTTCTTTTAGACACAATTGACATATAACATTATGTTAGTTTCAAGCGCACAACATAAGCTTTCAACACTTGTGTATATTGCAAAGTGGTCATCACAGTAAGTCCAGTTAGCACTCGGCACTGCAGTTACATTTTTTTGTGTGTGTGTGTGTGATGAGAAGTTTTAAGATCTACACTCTTAGCAGCTCTCAAATATGCAGTACCTGTTCATTATAGTCACTCTGATATACCTTCATCCCCATGAATTAATTATTTTGTACCTAGAATTATGTACCTTTTGACCCCCCTCAATTTTCCCAGTCCCTATGCCCTAGTCTCTGGCAACCACCAGTCTGTTCTTTGTCTCTATGAACTCATTTTTATTGTTGTTTTGATTTTGGTTTTAGATTCCATGTAAATGAGATCTAGATAGACAGATAGATATAGATATTTATATGTATTTGTCTTTCTCTGACTTATTTCACGTTGCATAGTGCCCTCAAAGCCTATCCATGTTGCAAATGGCAGGGTTTCTTTCTTTTTTATGACTAAATTATGTTCCATTCTGTATATATAGTACATTTCCTTATCTATTCCTCCATCCATGGTCACTTGTTTTATCTTGGCTGCTATAAATATAACAATAAACATGAGGTGCAGTTACCTTTTTGAGTGAGTGTTTTCATAGTGTATCTTTGTTAACTGGAGGTTTGGAGTTGTACTTGCCACACATGTTCATTGTAAAAGTATCATTGTAAAGCTTTAACACAGCTGTGTTTTGCAAACTGTTGTGCAAATATGAGACTCATCAATATTATCACTGTAATTATGGCCCAGTTATTAATGGAGTTCAGGGCAACAGTGCACCAATCTGAGCCCTGTGTCACTCTGTCACCTAATCCTCATGACAGCTCTTTGGAAGTGAGATAAAAATGGAAGCTCAGGAAGGTGACACAACTGATGAAGCCTGGCAACCTCATGCAAGGGATGGGGTGCTCCGTTATCTCACTTACTGTCTTGTTATCCCAAGCAAGGGCACAGACAGACAAGACTCTGATAATTCATTGTTGCTTTTTCACTGTCAGGTGACTTATTCCTGGAATTCCAAGAAGACCTGGAGCGAGTTTATAAGGTCTACTGTGCCACCTACAACCAGGCCTTGCTGTTAGTGGAGACCTACCGGAAGGAACCAGAGCTGCAGCAGGAGATCCAGGCTGTTATTGAGGCCGTGGTGTGAGTAGAATGACCAGTGAGCACCCACTCCTGTTGCGGCTGACCCTGAGGTCAGGAGCAGTTATGGTCTTACCACCACATGGTACTGTCACTCTTCCTCAGGACTGTCTCAGTCAGGATGGCCCAAGTTATGCTGCAGAGACAAATAGGTCCCTAGCCTTGGTGGCGTCAAACAACAGCAATTCATAGTCTTCTCATTGTGGGTTAACTTGGGATTCTTTGCATCATTCTCACTGTGAGACCCAAACTGACAGCAACCACCATCCAGAACATTGCCAATAACTGTGGCCAAGGGAAAAAGGAGCTCTAGAGGGTCAAATGATGGTAGTTAAATGTTCCAGTTCAGAAGTGATATCCATTGTTCCTCATAAATTATTGATCACATGGCTTCAGCTAACTAGGAGGCCAGGGCATACAATCCTGGCATGAAATCCTGCCATGTGTGTTAGGTGGAAATGCAGAAACTATTGAAAAACTTCTCTCATGACTATGCAGGAAGGGGAGGGAGATGGTGGGAAACGTAGTCTATAGGTAGCAGTGTCGGGAAGTCTTTTACACATGGCTGAAGTCCTGCTGGTGGAAAAGAAACAGAACTGTCGGGCCTCCCTGGTGGCACAGCAGGTTGAGCGCAGCATTGTGAAGCTGTCCATAGCCTCAGCCTCTGCAATGTGGGTTCGATTCTGGCTGGCTGGCAAGAATCCCATATGGCACAACAGGCCTCTCCTGTCGTGCCTGCTGCTCCCCTCAGCAGTGTATTTCAGTCGTCTGCCCCTTCTGCTCCCCATTCTGTCTCTGGTGAATCCTCTCACCCTCCTGTGCCTCTGGCCTGTACCTACCCCAGCTCTTGTATAAAAATAAATAAATCTTTAATAATAAAAAAAGAAACAGAACTGTCCCTGGTGATCCCACAATCCAGAGCTGGCACAGGTGGGTGGAAGCTGCAGAGATATGTGGAGCACAGACTTTTTTAATTAAAAAATTTGAGTGGGGGCCTCCCCAGTGGCGCAGTGGTTGAGCGCTGGGTTGCGAAGCTGCCCGCAGCCTCTGCAGCGCCGGTTCGATCCCCGGCTGCTCCCCAGCCACCGGAGGAGAGTCCCACATGGCGCGCAGACCTCTCCTGCTGCCCGCTGCTCCCCTCAGCAGTGTACTTCGGTCCTTCTGCCTGCTCTGCTCCCGCTCTGGCTCTGGTGAATTCTCTTGCCCTCCCGTGCTTCTGACTGTACCCAGTGCTTGTATAAATAAATAAATAAATCTTTTTTTTAAATAAATAAAAATAAATAAAAAATTTGAATGGATAATTCATGGCTCAAAAGCACAAAAATATCCAAGTTTATATAGTAAAAAAATCATTCCAGCCCTGTCCCTTCACCCCGTTATTACCCCATCCTAAAATTAAGGTAAACACTTTTAAAATTCTTTTTTTTTAAAGATTTATTTATTTATGCATACAAGAACTGGGGTACAGGCCAGAAGTATGGGGGGTGAGAGGATTCACCAGAGACAGAGTGGGGAACAGAACAGGCAGATTGACTGAAATACACTGCTGAGAGGAGAGGCGGGCGATTCAGGGGAGGTCTGCTGTGCCATGTGGGTAGCTCCCTGGCTGCGGATTGAACTCGTGCTACAGTGGCTGTGGATATAGCTTCATAGGTTGCATCTTAACCCCTTGTGCCACCAGGGAGACCCCACTTTTAAAATTCTTATGGACCTTTGTAGAGTTCTTTCATAAATAGATAAGAAAATACAATTATATACTCTTACTGCCTTTTTAATGAAAGTTTTTTTTTCCCACTTTAATATATCTTGGAGGTCTTTCCACCTCAATACATACCTGTTCTTCCATCACGTGGCTGTTGCATAGTTTACTTAATGGACTTTTGGATTGTGTCTAATCTGTTGATAGTACAGATAGTACTACAGTGAATATTCATGAGTATTTGTCATTTTACTCAGCTGCAAGTAAATCTGGAAGGTAAATTTCCATACAGGGAATTGCTAGGTTGAAAGAAGTACATATATATTGAAATCTTTACAAATATTGCAAAGTTTCTCTCCCTAAAGGCTATGCCAGTTTACATTCCCATAAGTACCATATGAAGGCTTCTGTTTCCTCCCAGCCTCATCAGCAAGCTGTGTTATTAAACTTGAGAATATTTGCCTCTGAGCTAGGTGAAAAATGGTGTCTCAATATAGTTGCATTTTGCTTTTATCTTCTCATGATGAAAATTGATCTTTTTGCATTTTTGAGAGTCATTTCTATTTCCTTTCCTGAGAATTGTTCTGCTTCCTTTCTGTTTTAAAAAGGCGTACATCTTCCCCAGGACGAGCTTACCAATAAAGGGCATTTTCTGGAAATCAGAATAATGTACTATTATTATTACTATTATTATTAGTTATTAATATTGTTTTGTCTTAGTCAGACTTTCCCTACATTTCTACCGCCCTTAGCTAATGCTTACCTATCCTGCCCCTGAAGTCTCCTTTTAAGTACCCGTATCCCAGCTCCTCCCTGCCTCCAAAAATGACACTCATTTTCCTCTTTGATTGAACCTTCACAGGTCCTACAAACTTAGGCTTCTGCAAAGGTCACTAAATACATTTCTCTCGGAGTGAGGCAGATAACAGATATGAGGGTAGCAAGGTGCCAGATATGGGACAAAAGGGAGTAGTGGAGACTCTGGTTTACCAGAGCCAGCAGACACTGTGCGGTTCACAGCTGCAGCCCAGTCTCAGCTGAATGTTGCTGTTTCAGGTAACTTTGCTATATAGCAATCTATGAGGTAGTAGCTTAAAGTAAACATGTCTTTAATTTACACTTCTGCAATGAGCTGGATTCGGTAAATTAGTTCTGGTCGTCCTGCCTGAGCACACTCACATGTCTGCAGGCAACTCAAATCAGGTCTGCTGATCTTGGTTGGACTTTCTTGTGTATCTGGGGGAAACACAAGCAGACTCTGTCTGCTCTTGCTGCACAGCCTCATGGTCCTGCAGGCTAGTCCAGGCTTGTTCTCGGGGTGATGGCAAGGTTCAGAAAGAGAGAAAACAGAGGGGAACAAGGGGAGCGATGCCTTCGAAGTTCTCAGCTGGGAATTGGCATGCTGTCACTCATTCTACCTTTGAGGCTCGTGCAGACTCAAGGGGTAGAGAAACAGTCATAGTCATATTCAAAAGGCATAGATAGAGAAGAATAATTGCAGTCATTTTTGCAAACTATCTACCTCAGTTGCCATGTAGAAATGTGAGTCCATTGTGGCCAGATCCTCTGATTTTTTTTTTGAGAAACCAGAAGCTTTGATGTAATGTCTCCCATGTGTTAGATGTTGGCACCCAGGTCAGGCATTCAGAAATGCTGTACGTTGGGGGCTGGGTTGGAGGGATCTGCAGGGTTGGCAGCGGCTGCTGTTGCTCACACCCTCTGCATGCTGATCTTCCCTAGCCAGGGCAGCCCAGGCCTTTCCCATGGGTTTAGGCGCCAGGCTGCAGTGTAGGGGCTGGCTCTGCCCCTCCATCACCTTGGCAGGGCCTTTTCATGTCTCAGAACCTAGTTTCCTTATGTGCAAAGTGAGCGTAATAGCAGCACCTCATGGGTGTACAGACTTATTGCACACCAGTGACACTCAATAAATCCCAGCTATTAGAGTGTTCTTGGCTAGGCAGGGTTACATTTCTCTGAGACTACACTGTGTTTCTCAACTTCTGTGTGTCCCAATATCCCCATTTTTAATAACTAACATTAAATAAATTTATTATCCTGAGATATATTCTGGAAAAAATTAACACATAAAATACATATACATAAAATGAGTTCTAATACAGTGATATGTATTTCAGTGGCAAATGCTTGGGCCCTGCCACAAAGGTATAATGAAGCAGTCAGATGCTTGCAGCTACTTATAATAAATAAGTTTTGATTTAAGGAAAGAAAAATCAGAAGGCATTTTGCATATGAAATACAAGAAAATGAAATAGCAGAGAATGTATACACCCTCAAATTACAGCTAGCAATGGTCACAAACAGGACTTCCGTGTAAGTGATAAGAGATAGAAGGGGTAACATAACTGAAGCTGCGATCACGTTACAGGCTGGAGCGGTCAAGTGGTAGAGTCTTGCAGATGGTCTAGGTCTTATTTATGAAGACAGTGTTGTCATCAGTCCAGTGTTATGACATGTGACTGGATGAAGTCGAAGTATAAGCATCTCAGTTCTTGAAATCAGCCCATCTGGAGGCACTCATTCAGCTTCTGAATGTTCAGAGGGACACATGGGACATAGAACTGTCCTCCATAGACTAGGACTGGACTGTCCTTGCCAGATGTCCCGCATCCCCCAGTCCCTACCTATTACATGCCTGTAGGACCCCATAACCCACAAGTCTCTCAGAGCCCTCAATGAGAACCCTGATCCAGCGTTGCACCAGGAACTGCATTCTTCCTGATCGCTTGCCTTTCGTTCTCCCTCATGAGATGCTTTCTTCTGCTTCTCAGCATGGACCACTTCCTGGAGCTTGGCTGACTCGGATCACCATGCTAGCCATAGTGGTTCTTTCTCAGACAGTTGGGATAGATGGAGCCATCTAGTCTTTGTGATTCCAAAATGTATGCTGCCTTCCACCTGTCCCGACACGCGGGATTCGGAGGCACGGAAAGAGAAGGGCTGAGGATTGAAATGAGGGGCTTGACAACTTGACGCTAGCGTTTACTTCTTTATTTTTCCTTTATCCTTTTCCTACTTTTCCATGTCTTTCTTTTCCCTGACTTTCTTACTTCCCTGGCCTTCTCTCTGCTCCTCTCGCAGTAACCCTTGCCGTATCTCCTTACAGTTTCCTCGCAGTCCTTTCTTTCTCTCTCGCGGTTCCCTTCTTATACCCTGGTCGCTCCTCCCATCGTGCCTCTCAGTCTCGCGTGATTTACAGGAGAACGCAGGGGTTTCTCCGAAGGCGAAACAGTAAATTGAAACCTAATTCATCGAGCACATGTGCAACATGGCGCATGCTCCAGGCAGCTCCGGACATCCACCCTTTATTTGAGTGGTAGCATGAGTAGGTGCTCAGTTTATACTGTTTTTTTTTTAAGATTTATTTATTCATATAAGAGCTGGGGTGCAGGCCAGAGGTGCCAGGATGAGAAAATTCATTAGAGACAGAGTGGGGAACAGAACAGGTGGATTGACTGAAATATACCGCTGAGGGAAGCAACAAGCCAGACAGGAGAGGTCTGCTGTGCCATGTGGGTAGCTTCCTGGCCAGGGATCAAACTTGTGCTACAGTGGCTGTGGATAGCTTCATAGTACTGAGACTTAATCCCTTGGGCCACCAGGGCCACCTGTTTGTCATGTTTCTTAAGACAGCACTTCCCACCTGAATGTCAAGGGATCAAAGGCTTGCCCTTGCAGTGAGCAGGACCTCTGCTTTAGGTAGGACCCTCTTAATGGCATCACTATTGAGGGGCTGCTCACAGAGGCAGATCAAAACACCAAGTGCAGAACACCAAGGTTCTGGAGTAATGACTGAGGCAGAGTTTTTAAAGAAGGCAATTAGGGGCCTCCCTGGTGGTGCAAGAGGTTAAGACGCAACCTGTGAAGCTGTCCACAGCCATTGTAGCACGAGTTCGATTCCCGGCCAGGGAGCAACCCACATGGCTCAGCAGACTTCTCCTGACTTGCCCACTGCTCCCCTCAGCAGTGTACTTCAGTCAATCTGCCTGTTCTGTTCCCCACTTTGTCTCTGGTGAGTCCCCACACCTCTGGCCTGTACCCCAGTTCTTGTATGCATAAATAAATAAATCTTTGGGCCTCCCCGGTGGCGCAGCGGTTGAGTGCTGGTCTGCGAAGCTGCCCGAAGCCTCTGCAGACCGGTTCGATCCCTGGCTGCCGGGCAAGGGTCCCACATGGCTCGACAGACCTCTTCTGTCTGGCCCACTACTCCCCTCAGCAGTGTACCTTGGTCTTTCTGCCTGTTCTGCTCCCCGCTCTGGCTCTGGTGAATTCTTTCATCCTCCCACACTTCTGACTGTACCTGGTACTTGTATAAATAAATAAATAAATTTTTAAATTAAATAAATAAATAAATCTTAAAAAAAAAAAAAAGAAGAAGGCAGGCCTCCCCTGGTGGCGCAAGTGGTTGAGCACCGTGCTGTGAAACTGTCCACAGCCTCTGCAGCACCAGTTCAATCCCGGCTGGCTGGCAAGGGTCCCACATGGCACAGCAGACCTCTCCTGTCATGCCCGCTGCTCCTCTCAGCCGTGTATATCATCAGTCTGCCTGTTCTGCTCCCCACTCTGTCTCTGGTGAATCCTCTCACCCTCCTGCGCATCTGGCCTGTACCCCAGTTCTTGTATAAATAAATAAATAAATCTTTAAAAAAAAAAAAAAGAAGACACTTAATCTTCTTTGCTTTTCTTTGTTGGCAACTTCTGTTTGTTTTAAATATAAGAGTAACATATGCTTATTGAAGAAGAGAAAATTCAAACAATGCCCAAGTATATAAAGTTAAAAGGAAAGTCATTTTCCCCTTGGTTTCTGGTTTCCCCATCGTTCCCCCTAGTGGTTAACATTTCCCATCCAAATTTTCTTCGGTATATTTTACACACAAACAAATAGGAAGTAGGCTTTTCATGGGAATGGATGGATGGGTGGATGGATGGAGGGGAGTGGATGAGTGGTGGGGTGGATTGGTGGTTTGGACATATGTGCAGGTGAGCGGGTAGATGGATAGGTAAGTGGCAGACAGGTGGATGGGGATAGATAAATTTTTAAGGGGCTCCTACCATAGTACTGTTCTAGAGTTTGCATTTTTCACTTAACCATAAACCAATGAATATCTTTTCACAGCTACCAAAATCTACCAAGCTCATTTTATTTTGTTTAAAGATTTATTTATTTGTACAAGAACTGGGGTATAGGCCAGATGTGCGGGAAGGTGAGAGGATTCACCAGAGACAGGGCAGGGAACAGAACAGGCGCGTCAGGAGAGGTCTGCTGTGCCATGTGGGATTCTCGCCGGCTGGCCGGGATCGAACCCACGCTGCAGAGGCTGCGGACAGCCTCATAGTGCGGCGCTCAACCGCCTGCGCCACCAGGGAGGCCCTACCAAACTCATTTTAGTGACTGCAGCAGAGTTCCTTGCTAGGGCAACTCACAGGCTATGAAGTGCTTCCCTATTGATGGAGATTTAGCTTGTTTCTAATTTTTTACTGTTATAAACAGAGTTGGTGAGTAACTTCTGCCTTTGTTGTTGCTCACTTGCGCTGATGACTCTGGGCAGTAGCACCGATGAAGCCCAGGGTTTGTACATTTTGCAATTCGCCAAACTACTCTGAAAAGATCTCACTGATTGATATTCCCACCTAAAGAATTTAAGAGGGTCTGAGTATTGTCTCTCAATTTTTGTTGCCTCTCTGTAAGGCTGCATAAAAAGTGAACTAAGAGACTATCATAATACTTTTTAATGAAACATACATTGATATAACATTGGTTTATAACATTATATAGTTTCAAGTATGTAGCTTTATAATTCGTCATCTGTATATGGTGCCTTATGATACTTATAAAAGTCTCATTTCTGTCCACTATCATACTGTTTATCCCTTTATCCCACATACCTACCACCATCCCCCTCCCTCTGGTGACCACTATTCTGTTGTCAGAAACTAAGGATTTGTTTTTGTTTTGTTTTCTTTGTTCCTTTGCTTTGTTTCTTTATCTCCCACATAGCAGTGAAATCATATAGTATTTGTCTTTCTCGAAACTGCTGTTGTTCTGTAGGGACTCCTTGCTGATTGTGGAGAAGAGAGGTGATCATCTCTTTACAGATACCCTTCCCTCTGGTTTGTGAGGTGAATGTTGAACCCATGGGAAAGCTGGTCCCTTCCCATGGAAAGTAAGCCCAGAGGACAGAGTTTGACAAATATGTGGCTTTTGTTTCTACCTCTCCTGTCATGTACTAGGAGGTCCTTGTGAGAGTAGATGGTCAGCGTGGGCGTGTCCCACAGGTGATCTCACCCCATGCCCTGCAGCCAGTGCACAGCTACCTCCTGCTCTGCCTATTCCCCACCACATGGCCCATCTTTCCCGGCTATTTGGTCTAGAGATTTCTCCTTAAGAAGAAAAGCAAGAGGCAAGGGTGCCACGGAGAGGGCCTAGCTCAGCACATGGGGTCCTTTGTGGGGATGCTTGAATATTGAGGTTTGAAACCCTCTGGGATTTCTCCAAAGGTGGGTCTGAATAATAATAATGGTTGTGATCCAGGAAAGACTGTTGGAGCCTTTTCCCAGATGCCGTTGACCTTTGGGACATCGTTGAGATGGGGCTAGCAACAGTCATCCTCACATCTGACGGTGCATCCGGGAGGGAGCTCAGCAGTACTAGTTCCCATGCTTTCCTGTATATTTCACTTGTTGAAATGAAAAATACAGTAATGTAATGGAAAAATACAATAATGTAACAAACGCACACATACCCGCCACCTGAAATTAATTACCGTTGGTGTTTCGCTGTTTTTGCTTTATCTATTTTTATGCTAAACTATTTGAAGGGAATGAAGATATGATATTTTACCCTTATGTCCTTAAATACATCTCTAAACATTAAGTTCCTGTGATTTTAGAAGCTTTCCTTTCCTAAGGGGACAGAATCATTTTATAAAGTGAAATATAATTGGATGCCCTCGCTGTGGAGTTGTGCTTGGCCAGCCGAGCGGAGATGTCGAAGCAGTTGAGCCTGGAGGCCCAGACAGAAACGGGGAGTGGACATCTGGGTGTGGGTGGGCTTAAAGCAACAGGACTGAATGAGGTCGATAAGAGAGTGAGTGGAAAGGGAGGAAAGGAGGCGCCCAGCATTCTGGCACTGGAGGTTTGAAACCCTCATAGGCCCAGCAAAGGAGGCCTATAGATTATGAGAAGTAGGAAGAAGGGCATCTCTGGGGTCAGAAGAAGAAAGTGTTTCTAGAAAGAGGGAGTGGTCAGCTTTGTCTGTTGCTGTAGACCAAGCAAGCCAAGGGCAAAGAACAGACCATTGGCTTGGTACAGAGGGCCAACTAATGCCCTAAAGTGGGTAGAGTGGGAAATAGCAATGCCCATCTAACCTCTAGACCACACAAGTTACAGATGAGGAAACTGAAGGCCACAGAAGGAAGGTCATTTGCCTGAGATTACAGTGAGTTAAGTAGCAGAGCTGACACCAGAGCCCAGGCCCCCTGGCCCCCAGAGGGTGGGCTCTACCTACCTAACACCAGCCTTCTCCCTCAGGCCACATGCGGGACCCTCAGGCCTCAGTTTCTTACTGGTAATCCCTCTGCAGAGGATTACCAAGTACCCATTACTGCTGCAGAAAATCCTGGAGAACACACTCCCTGATGCCAGTGCCTACCCTGTCCTTCAGAGGGCTACCTCTGCCCTCCAGGACGTGAACGCCAACATCAATGAATACAAGAGGCGCAAGGAAGTGGGTAAGGACTTGGGGGCACTTAGGGCCCACAACAGTGTGAATTCTTCCAGTTATGAAAATCTTTACTGGCTTCACCAGTAAAGGGACCGTATTGGCTCATAGAACCACACATTCGTGGGTAATATGGGCTTCAGGTAGGGTTTGTTCAGGGTACCGGCACCAGTTCCCTATTGTTCTTCATGCTATGATCTTTATTGTATGTCAGCTTCATCTTCAACCTGGGCTCCCTCCAAATAGTGAATAGCTATTGCTGTCCCAAGACTCACTTCTGTATGCCACATTCTCCAAGGTAAAACAGGACCTTCCTCCCCTTAGCTGTAAAAGTCAAATTGAATTTTCAATTTGAAATCTAAGCCTCATCCTGGTAAGACCCACTTCAATCATGTGCTCACCTTGAACCAATCACCATAGTTAGGGGAATATCCTGATCTGATTGGTTTAGGCCAGGATTATGCATTGAACCAATCACTGTGGCCAAAGGAGAGGGATTCTATGGATTGGTTTATATCAGTCAGCCCCCACCCCTTAACCATAGTGAAATAGAGTCCACCAAAACCACATGGCTTCCGTACTGTGGAAGACATGCATACTGAGGAGGCCAAGAGCTGTTCCCATACCAGGGAGGGGACAGGGAATCTTGCCTCTCAAGTTGTTGAAACAAAAAGGTAGAATGAGACCTTGGTCATTTGCTCCAAGTCATGGAGCTTGTAGAGAGGGAGCTACCTTTCACTCAGGCCTGGGGCCAGGCTGCCAATCAGAAAGTCTAGAGCTCTGCCAATCAGAGTGGGAACGTGTGGTTTTGGCTAACACTGGCTGAGGGACCTCAGATGAATCACCTCTGCTGAGGAAACAGGCCTACGAAGTGGTAACTTGCCAAAGTCAAGCATACAGACAGCTCTTGAGCCAGGTTCACACCTGAGTCTTGTGCCCTGCCTTCAAGCCTAGTCATGCTGATGGATGTATCTCTGGTGTTTGAGAAAGGCTTCAAGGCATGCCAGGGACACTTTGCTTTCCTGGGTCAGCCAACCATCCCTGTCCTCCCTCTCCTCTGTGGTTGCAGCCTCCAAGTACAACAAGGTGGAGCAGCTGACCCTACGGGAGCGGCTAGCCCGAATCAACACGCACACCCTCTCCAAGAAGACCACGCGGCTAAGCCAGCTGCTGAAGCAGGAGGCCGGGCTTGTGCCCAGGGTAAGCATGGGTGGAAGGAATGGTCACATCCAAACATCCCAAGGGCAAGACTGTGCAGTGGGTGGGGAAAGGGTCTTAGAGTCCCTTGGATATGAGGAACCAGAGGCCAAGGGAGTGAAGAGACTTCCCAGCATTGCATAGACAGGAAGAGCAGTACTGGCGTGTCCTCCCTAAATTGGGAGTCTCAAGGTAGGGCTCTCTCCACTGCTGCTTGTGCTTTTCTTTCTCTGGAGATAGGAGAGCTAAGCTATGGGTCCAGGCAAGGAACCAGCCTCGAATAGCTGCTTGTAGCTCAGGTTGACTGAGTACTTACTCTGGGCCTAGCATTATTTGAGCTACAAAATGAAGTAGGTGTTCTTATTCTCTCCATTTTGCAGATGAAAAAACAAAGCTCAAAACAAAACACTTGCCCAGGGTTACACAGCAGGAAGCAAGTAACCCAGGGCTCACGTTCCTGGCTCTGGTTCTGTGGTCCAAACACAAAACCACTAAGCTGCACTCACTGCTTCCAACAGTCCCACTTAGCTTTGGGGCAGGAGGAACTGGCTCTGATGGCGGGTCCCTGGGAAGAGTCCTGGGGGAGTATTGGGTGCACATGGGATAGACACTGCCCCCATGTGGCTGTTCTTGGCCCTCACAAGCATGAACTTTACTCTCAGACGGAAGACAAGGAATTTGATGACTTGGAAGAGAGGTTCCACTGGGTGTCGCTGTGTGTGACAGAGCTGAAGAACAATGTGGCTGTTTATCTGGATAACCTGGAGGTGAAGTGCCTGCTGTGCACAGAGGGCAGGGCGGGATTTCCTGGGCGGGAGGCAAGTGGGGGCCATCTGCCTGCCAGCAAAGGCAGTGACTGTGGGGACCTAAGGAAAGAGGTCATCCAGTCACTGGCTGCAAGCCAGAAGGCCCATGGGCAAGCACCCTCAGCCCACAGGCTGTCTGGGGCAGCTTCTGAGCTCTTGCAGGGGTGAGGGTCAAAATTCCCTCCAGAGGGCCCCTGCCAGCCAGCAGACCTAGCAGGGGTGCCGAACTTGGGCCAGGTGGATAATACTACCCAATGAAATGTACAGATGTGCAAGGCTTGGCAGGTTGTTTATGAGATGCTTCATTAGAGTTAAATATATAATAATGCTTGGAATTTGAACTATGGAATGAACAAATGAATGAAAAAATTTAAAGGGACGGCTATTTCTTGGCCGTCAATGAACTAGCAAGCTGGGATCTGAACCCCAAAGTGCTTGCCACCACTCTAGTTACCGCGTGGAAATGGGACCCAAAATAGCCAGTTCTTCTGACTTGAAGCAAAAAAAAATCGTGAAATTCAGACTTTTTTAGGTGAAATCTCATGACGTGTCCATGTGAGCAACTAATTAAATCAGCATTTAAATGCTACCAGACCCAAGAAAATGTATTTCTACCAAGTGAGTTCAGCCCCCGGGAACACCAGCTTACATTCCCACCGAGCCCGTCACTTGGCCTGTGCCAGCTCCCGCTCCATTCTTGTCATCGGTGCTGACTCATTCCTTCCACGCTGTCCCTTTTATGTGGTTTTCTTCTCAGTCACATCTATTTGTGCACACCAGCTGGGCCAGACTGTAACGGGCTCTTGGATAATGGGATTTGGGGTGGCGTTAGCTAAAGTGGGTAAAGGAGTTCAGACTCTTCTACAGGACTGATTCCCCTGCTGCTTCCTGCTCATCCTGCACCCCCCAGTGGGCAGACTGGAACAGCACAGAGAGCCTTGACTTGAGGAAGAATGGAGGGGCCTTGGGAGACAGAAGCCAGAGGCACAGGGGAGAGATGCCACTTGGCAGGGTGAGAGGGCTGTTGGGAAGCACTAGGCTGTGTTTCCCTAGACTCAGGAGTTACACAGGTACACGGACATGACAAGAAAGTGGCTTCCGCTCATAATCCCCCGAGTCTAGGAAGAGCCTCTTTTTCTGGCATGCCTTTACCATGGGCCAATGAAGCCTTCAGCAGCCAGGGACATCTAGACAGAGCTCATTAACAATGCTTTTATAGCAATGGATCTGAGGTGCCTATTTTTAGCAATTGTTGCTGTCTTTCCCTTTATGGTAGCATCATAAGGGTGTGTGTGTGTGTTTAATATATTAAATAGAAACAGTTAGTAGATCTAAAGAAAAGTATTAATAGAACACGTAGAATATGGACCTGGCAAAAATAGTCACAAAGGTGACTGTAGATGTATGAGGTTCAAGAAGTGCCAGAATGGGGAGTTGGTGGCTCCATCTGAGGAAGAAACGTCTAATCACCCAAGTTGTGCAAGGATAGAACAGCCCGTGTGCTTCCTGTCACAGGGGTGAGCAGACAGTCTGGACCTCTTTGGGGCATGGCAGAGGGAAATTCAGGTACAAGATGGTCACCACAGGCCACGAGTATCTGTCTCCCATTTGCCCCGTGCAGGCCTTCCTCTGCTTCCGGCCGCAAGACTACGACCTGGACATCCCCGGCGGCCCTGTGGTGCAGTACTGCAGCCTGGCCGGGGACCTTCAGCTGCAGGCCTTCCCAGAGTTTGTGAGTGGAGCTTCTCTTTCCTCCTTTCCTTGTTAGGCAGGGGGCAGAGCCTGTAATAATATTTAGAAGTCAGGACTTCGCACAACTGCCACGTCTCTAGCCGCCCTAGTAGTCAGCAGGACAGATTATTATTAGTGCGTTTTACTGATAAAAATAGCCCAGCGAACATTTATTGAGCTTACTATCTGCCAGGCGCTGCGCTAAGCCCTTTATATTCTTCACCTCATTTAATCCTCACAACACAGCTTACGGAGTAGGTCCTATTAATAGCTCCATTCTGCAGAAGAGAGCAGGTGGCTCAGAGGGGGTGACCTCCCTGGTTATTCACATGGTCAATGAAATGGCAAGCTGGGATCTGAACCCCAAAGTGCTTGCCACCACTGTAGACAATATCTTTGTCAAGTTTTGTGTACAGAAATGGCATTAAGAAGTGAGATATATTGAATACATATTTTGTGCCAGGCATTCTCCCTGCCTCCAAAGTCCCTTTTCCCAGTACCTTCCCTCTGTCACCTTCTCCCCTGACTCCCAAGCTCACCTCTGCCCACAGAAGCAACGCCTGGAAGGCCTGGTATGGCAGCCGCTCTGCGACATGGCCAAATCTCTGACCGGCCCCCAGAACCTGATCAAGAAGCGCCTGGACAAACTGCTGGACTATGAGCGGGTGGAAGAGAAGCTGTTGGAAGTGGGCAGCATGACCTACGAGGAAGAACAGGCCCGGCACACGTACCAGGCACTGAACTCCCTGCTGGTGGCCGAGCTCCCGCAGTTTAACCAGCTGACCATGCAGTGGCTGGGCCAGATCCTGCGCACGTTCATGGCCCTGCAGAGGGACCTCGCAAAGCAAGTCCTGCAGAGGGCAGAGGGCGGCATGGCCCAGGTAAGACCTCTGGGCTGGGTGCCACTGGGGGAAGAGCCAGGCAAGGCCTCACAGCCCCTTCAGCCAACTATTGGCAGGACTGGAAGGGAGTAAGGTTGAACCTTCCCAACAGATTAGAGGTGCATGGGAGGAGGCTGTGGTGACATTCTGGATCTCTCTCTTACCTGTTCTCCCTCCGTGAATGGAGTCAGACCATGGAAGCAAGACCTGGGTCTGTGGGCCCTGGGACCCCAAAGCAAAAGACATGCTACTGGTTTAGAAATAATTCCACAATGTGCCAGAGTTCAGTCTGTAAGTGAAAATAAAGCTTTATTTGGGGTTTTTAGGAAGACTGCAATTTGGCAAGTGCTCCTATGTGGGGCTAAAATACAGAGCCTATGTAGGCAGGGCTGCCTCCTACAGGGAAAATAATACAATTCACTAGAGGGAGAAAACATTCAAATAGAAGGGATGGCTGCACGTTAGTGCAGTAGCATATTGTCTTTTTCGAAGCCCGGTGCTGTTTCTCAGAACTCCCCAGATTCCAGGTGTCAGGATGCCAGTTTCAAGGGGGTGACATGTGTGTGATTGTCGTCAGGGCCAGGGTGGGAGATGTGCAGGCGCTGCAGCCCCTGATGGCCTCCTCACTCAGTCTGGATAGTCCCTTTATCAGGTTGGGTGCCATTATTTATTAGTTGCCTGTACACAGGGGAATGGCAGGCCCTGGGGCCAGTGCGTCAGAAGCTGGTGACCAGGGTAGGTCCCTGCTGTGCAACCTCAAGCTGGCGTTCCTGCTGCTCCTGCTGCCTCCACTAACTCTGCCACCAGCACTTACTGTGTACCTGTTTGGAGCACCTGCCTTAGCTATCTCCCTTAATCCTCACAACAACCCTCCAGAGGAGGTATTGTTATCATCCCTCATTCAAAAGGAGGCCAAAGCCTGAGAGGTTAAGCGGCTTGCCCAGGGCCGTACAGCTGATGAGGATTTGCACCCACCAGTTGAGCCCCAGAGGCTGGGCTTCCATCGCAGTGCCTGGCAGCAGCACGAGGCGCTGTCTGCTGGAAACTTAAATAGGGTGCAGAAAGGTTTGGATGAACCTCCAAGTGTGGACTTTGATTTGGGAATTTTGAAGATTGGAGTTGATAGAGGAAAGAATCCAGAGAGCTCTCTCTGATGTCAACTTCGGAGCTGAACGGTCGGTGGGGCCAGCCTCAGGAGCAGCCAGTGCTCCTCATACCCCGTGTTGTCTCAAGCTCAGCGTCCCCTTCCTGTTTGTGCCATGAACATTCCTTTCAAATTTGTTCTCCATGCCCACCACCTTTGCAGCACCTGGTCCCTCTGGAGGCCCGTGGCCACCGTCCCCTTGCACAGACCACCTCCTATATGTGGAGTGTCTTTCCCCACTGTCCTTCATATCTTTCACAGCTTCTGGCATATGGTAGGAGCTCCCCAGATATGACAGATGAGCAGGTCCCAGCATCCCCTCCCCTGGAGGGAGTATCCATCTCCAGCCTCTGGCTCCAGCAGCCCTCGGCACAAGCTTGTGCTCAGCACACAGCACGGCCTGCCTGCTGCCGGGTGATGGGTGCGTCTCCTCATTGAGGGGGGCTGGAACTGTGGGCTCTTCTTCTCTTTGGCCTTTATAGCATCTAGTGCACTATATCTCAGACACTCTTTGAATTGAGTTAGGCCTGAGCCATCTGCAAAAAGAAGCATTTCTCTTTCCTGAAGGCAGAGGGGTACACCTGATTAGAGGATTTCTTCCTTCTCCAACCCTCTTGTTTTCTCTGAAGCTGCAGCCCCCCCCCCCCGCCGCCCCCCCCCCCACATCCCAGTATTAAGGTTGGAATGTCCAGGACTGGGGAGTGTTACAAGATGCTAGTAGTAGGGAGGTCAAGTTGATAAGAGCAGAAAGAGCATTTCTTCATTGGTGCTTTAACATAGAATGTTATGTGATCCCTGGCAGCTTCTTGTCTGTGCCCACGGTCCATTCGCTGCACTGCCTGCAGATTGGGGGCAGGAGCGCAGCTCTAAGTCAGAACAAGAGTGTGAGTTTGGTGACAAGCAGAGAAGACGTCTCTGTTACTCCTGGGGTTGTCTGATGAGAAAGTGGGTGATGCCTTACAGGGTCAAGGTCTCAGGAGAGGGATCAGTCCTCAGCTCAGCTGCACGCAGCACAGATAAAGTTGCCAGCACTCTGACTTTCACTCCACCTCTGAGCTGCTTCCCTCTCTGGCAGGCTTTTTTCTGCACCTGGGAGAGGTGGCTACCAGTAGCTGCAGGGGGTAACTTTGCGTCCCAGATCCCAAGAGAGGGCGGCTCTTCAGTTGTCAGCTTTCATGTCTGACGGGAGGGTTCTCAGTGACTTTGCTTAACCTGTTGTCCTATCCTGGGACCATAATGGCAGATAGAAGGAAGGGGTGCTAACTGTTCCTGACCTTAGCTAGAGGCCCAGACTGGGCCATGCTGCTGGACCCATCAAGAGACGCTCGCATTGGGCTTCCCCGGTGCGCAGCGGTTGAGTGCTGGGTTGCGAAGCTGCCCGTGGCCTCTGCAGCACCGGTTCGATCCCCGGCTGCTCCCCGGCCACCGGAGGAGGGTCCCACATGGCGCGCAGACCTCTCCTGCCGCCCGCTGCTCCCCTCAGCAGTATACTTCGGTCCTTCTGCCTGCTCTGCTCCCCGCTCTGGCTCTGGTGAATTCTCTCACCCTCCCGCACTTCTGACTGTACCCGGTGCTTGTATAAATAAATAAATAAATCTTTAAAAAAAAAAAAAAAAAGAGAGAGAGAGACGACGCTCGCATTAAGGAAAGCAGGCGCAGCCAAAACCACGCTGACTAAGATAAGAAGTACCATGTAGACACATCAGGGCCTAGAGTGTAGGCTGCCCGGTCTCTCCGTCTAAGGCTCTGATGATATGCCTGTCTCCCCCTAGCTGCCCCACCACCAAGTCTCTGAGCCAGCCTTCGGGAAACTGCTGGAGGAAGCACTAAGTCACAACAGTAACCAGCTTCGCTTCTTTCAAGAGAACTTCGAGAAAGTGCTGCCGCCTCCCACCGTACAAGTAAGTGTCCCTCCTTCCTCTGGAGACTCACTGCTGGTAGAATGACCCTGCCCCTATTGCCCTTGCTTTTCCTGTGTTTCCTCTCCCTCCCCCTTCTCTCTCTGAGCTGGGGTGAGGTCAGGTAGGGTGTGCACCCATATACACCCCTGCCCTTTGGGTGTATGTTGGATCAGTACACATAAAAGCAGAACAAAATTTTGGGTCCAGAGTAAGAAAACCCAACATTCCCACGGGCAGTGAGAGTCACCATCATAATGGGAAGTTGGCATTAACATCAGAACGCGTAAAACTTCAAGTTTTTCACCAGAATCTCTCCTTGTTAAAGCACAATCTTGTCTAAAAAACTACATCAAACCCCAGCATTCAAGATGAATGAAAAGGCATCTAAATTTTTGTTTTGCAATGGAATTTTTAAATTGCAAAAAACAGTATTCCGGCTGCATTATGGTTTACCATGCTTTTGGCCAAAGGCTCCACATGGAGAGTCTCTCCAGGAAGGATGTGTTTTAGAAGTAGCTGAAGAGGGCCTTCCTGGTGGTGCAAGGGGTTAAGCACAGCACTGTGAAGTTATCCGCAGCCTCTGCAGCATGAGTTCCATCCCCAGCTGACTAGGGAGCTACCCACATGGTGCGGCAGACCTCACCTGTCTCGCCCGCTGCTCCCCTCAGCAGTGTATTTCAGTCAATCTGCCTGTTCTGTTTCCCACTCTGTCTCTGGTGAATCCTCTCACACCCCACACCTCTGGCCTGTACCCCAGGTGCATAAATAAATCTTTAAAAAAAGAGTAGCTGAAGGGGGTCTAGTGAGAAGGGACACCCACAGGAGGATGGAGCCTGGGCTTGATGAGACTGGAAACTGTTCATTCACCTGAGAGATGTAACGTGAGGGTCAGGAGCTGCCCCCGAGCCTCCAAGAGGGAAGGGCCCAGAGACCCAGCGAAGGAATGAAAGACACAGAGCTGCAGACAGGTGGCTCCCCACTTGGCCAGAGTGACAAGGACCATCGGAGATGCACGTCCGTGCCAAGGCGACTGTCCCCACCACCTGTTCATGCTGAGACTGCTCGGCAGAGGTCCCCTGGTACTATGGCATGGGCCCTGCCACTTGGGGTGCAGAAAATGAAGAACAGAACAGCCACTCCAGTGGTTGGTTTCCTACTTAAAATCAAGTAACACTTTTCTTATTAGAAAAGCAATCCACGCTGCTTATAGAAAAGTGAGAAGACCAGGAAAAACAAAAAGAAGAGACTAATGGAAACCCCATGGCCGCAGGGTGTGTCGCTAACTGGTAGGAAGAGATCCTTCCCTTCCCCGCTTCTCCCTTCCCACCTCTCCACACCCCCACACATCCTCCCTATAAATTCCTGACTTGTTCCACTGTTGGAACAGGATTTCTAGATGTGAGGTGGCCCCCAGAACAGGAGCAGTCCTAGATACCGTCACATGCCTCCCGGCCCCTCCGGCGTGCTCTTCTCACACAGGCGGGGGCTGCTGGGCTTGGGGGAGGAGGCAGATGTTGGCCACACCACTGGCCCATACACTCACATTAACGTCACCTTTCTTCATCTACCTTGTCTCTACACGTCTCTTCAAGGGCCTTGGAAATATCAGACTCTTCTGGCCCTTGATTGTGATCCGGTGATGCCGTTAGAGTAGGTGGTCAGTAGAGTCCCTGCACAACTGCCCCTTCCCTACTCCCAGCACTTTCCCTTCCAGAAATGACCCTGTAGAATACGCTGAAGATAGATATTATGTAGACAGATGTAGGGATGTAGGTAGGTAGGTAGATTATATAGTTAATCTGTATTTAACATTTTCAGTTTCTTCCTGGTTTTGTAAAAAGGAGACATTCCCCTCTGGGTCCTCTTGTTGATACTGCTGCTAGAAGTGGTGAATGGAAAAACAGGCAGTACCGGAAAAGTTTTAGATGAGGTGAAAGTGCCACCAAGTCATTCTCCCTGGCTAAATGACATCAGGGCAAAACTGTGTCCTGTGTCTGCTGCACCACTGATGAGTCTACCTGAGCCTTGTGAGGAGTAGATGCTCAGTACATACTTGTGATAGGATCAGGGTGTTGCCCCCATGCATGCTGGCCCTGTGCTGGCTGCTGATGGGATGGGGAGGGAGGTCTGGTGTCCACAGGAGGCTCACTCTAAATGGCTGGGAGACCTGCGCCAGGCACTTTCCTGGGGGGTAGCTTAGTTTGACATTATGAATAGAATTTAGGACCTGATGGTGGGGCTCTGTAACTGCGACATTTCAGAAGTTGAATTAGAATTTTAGAGAATCTCAAAAGTTCAGACCTGGAAGGATTTTTAAAGGTTCAACTAGAGGTTTCTTCTGAGATGACTTTGGACTCTTAGAAACGTGGCTCTCATCTGGCCCAGCCATCTGTTAGGAGGTGACTGTTGCCCTGGCCGGGATGCATGCAGCAGCAACCAAGGTGGGACTGGCCCGGGAACACTGGCTCTCATGCTAACTCGGACCCCTGTGTCTGTCGCTGTCCCTTCTCCCCCAGCCTCTCCTGCCCGGAGCTGAACGCCAGGTGCAGGCTCTCCTGAGCAGGTATGGTCCTGGGAAGCTGTACCGGGTGACAAGTAACTTCAGCGGTGGTGGGCCCATGGACCTGACACTGCTGCGGGGACAAATCGTGGCCCTTCTTCAAAACAAGGACACCAAAGGCAACAGCAGCCGCTGGCTGGTGGACACTGGAGGTATGTGGACTCTGAGGCCTTTCCCCTCCTACTGGGGAAACCATCCCCCAGAAGCCTGTGGGGAGACCTAGGCAATGGTGTGGGCTGGTCCGACCATGCCAAGCAGGATGGGAATGAACACAGGTGAAAACGCAGGGCTTGAGGCGCAGCCGGCCTTGCATGGTATATTCAATGCCAAAAAGGGGAGTTGTTATCACGCACCTACTGTGTGTCAGGTACGATGCAGGAAAGGCCAGGACCCTGCCTCAAAGCCCTCACAGACCATTGTGAGCAGAGATAGAGGGAGAAAATTTCAACTTCACCCTGAGAGCTGGAGATGCTTGAATCTCGGCCTTGTGACGGACTTCTGATGTGCAGAGTAAGGGAGGTGACCCTCTGGCTCTCCCTGCACTGGTCACACCCTTTGGGGGAGCTTCTCAGGTCTGGGTGCCCCATTATAACCAGGCAGGAGGCAAATGGTCTCACATTCCTAGAGAAAATAGCCCTATAGAGTATCTTCCAAAAAGGGGCGTATAACCCACAAAATGAGATTACACAGGGCTGTTGGGGAGAGATCTAGGACCAGATTCCCCTCCCCTGACAGTTTATTATAATTAAGCACCTTGATATATATTAGGAGGAACATATAACTAGTACATAAACCCTTGATTTTATTCATATTACTGTATACTACAAGACTAAGTTTTTAAAAGTGAGTTGATTAAAAAATTAAGAAAAAGGCACAAATCTGACAGACCGCAAAATGTCAGTTTTATGACTCCGAGGAAAACAGTTGAATGGGGATTAAAGCTAGACCCCTGGGGCCAAGGGATTGGGTCAGAACCCCAACTCTGCCACTTACTGACCCCATGACCACGGAGAAGCCATACAGCCTCTCTGAGTTTCGCTGGCTCGGCCCTCAAATGGACCCGATGGCGCTGACCTCCAGAGTTCTGTGAAGCCTGGAAAATCAAATATCGGTTCTGATGCCTGGCAAGCTCTCAGGAAGCGATGGCCATTTGTAAAGGGGGTGGCTGGAAGAGCGTTGGCAGTAGTCACTGCTCAAGAAACAGCCGGGGACGGTGGGCTAAAGAAGAGCAGTGTGGGCCTTCTGGAAAGGGCTGTCTCCAGGGAGAAGCAACCTAGCTCTGGGCCACCGCTGGAGCAGGGAGATCAGTGTGCCAGCACCGGGAAAGAGGTTTCCATGCAGTCCCAAGGAAGCACTTTTTAACTCTGCCAGATCTGTCCACAATGGAGTAGTAGGGAATGAGCATCCTGTCACTGCAGGCATGCAAGCTGAGGCTAGAACAGTGAGCGAGGGGGGTGGCTTGTGAAGTTCTGAGATGACCTTTTCAGGTCCTCTTTTTTTTTCTTTTTTAAGATTTATTTATTTATTTATACAAGCACCGGGTACAGTCAGAAGCGCGGGAGGGTGAGAGAATTCACCAGAGCCAGAGCGGGGAGCAGAGCAGGCAGAAGGACCGAAGTACACTGCTGAGGGGAGCAGCGGGTGCGGCAGGAGAGGTCTGCACGCCATGTGGGACCCTCACTGGCAGCCGGGGATTGAACTGGTGCTGCAGAGGCTACGGGCAGCTTCGCAACCCAGTGCTCAACCACTGCGCCACCGGGGAGACCCCAGGTCCCCTTTTATGCTGAGAAGCTCTGTTGGGGTGTTCACACCCATGTACTTCCTCCACATTAAATGGGGTGGGGAAGGTCACTCAGTCACATGATGTTCTGTTGTCTTGTAGGACATCGAGGGTACGTGCCCGCTGGGAAGCTGGAACTGTACCATGTCGTCACCTGGGAAGAGCAGCCCAGCAGGCCGGCGGGGTCTCACAACAACTCCCCCCGATGTTTAACACCAGAGCCTGCCCCAGCCCCCATCTCCTCTGTCCCAACCGTGACCCAGGTGAGCTGGGAAGGGTGGAGGGTTGCCTCTCCGTGGCTACCTGCACCAGGGTGTTGATTTTCCTCCTGTCTGGAGCAACCGCACCCTGTGATGCTGGGGTCTTGATCCGGAGTCACGTCAGGGTTGTGGCCAGGGTTGGTACCCAAAGAAAGGAGTTTCCCACCCCTGCCACAGTGACCACAAAGCGTGAGCCCCATGCTCCCCATCAGCAGGGCAAGTGGGATTCATTCATTCCATATTTCTAGACACTGCGCTAGATGAGAGAGGTAATGATGAGCAGTAATAGCAGTAAATCTTGGTGCTTGCCCCCTCACATTTATAATCATGGGGGGTACAACAATAAAATAATCATACGAATAATGTGAAATTAAAGCAGTGATAATTGTAGAACCCTAGGCGTGGGAGAGCTTCAGGCATAGTTTTCTGGAAGGATGATAACTTTCTCTCAGCTATGAAGGGTGAGTAGGAATTCATTGGGTAAAGGAGTGTGTTGGGAGGCGAAAGCGAACAGCTCCCCAGAAAGTGTGCACCACGAATGCCAAGGCCCAGTGTTAGCGACAACTGGGGTATATGAAGAGACTGATGAGGCCAATGTGGCTGGGGAAGATGGAGGGGCTTTGGGGGAGGAGCACTGGAGAGGTGAGCATGGCCAGACCAGCAGGGTGTTGGCGAAGGCGACGGCTGTCCTCTTAAAAACAGTGAGGAAACGTGTACATGCATAGACATAGCACTGTTCATAAAAATCCCAAAGTAGAAACAACCCAGTGTCCATCAACTGGTGAAAACATACACAAGACGTGATCTAGCCTCAGCACTGAATATTATTCAGCCACGAAAAAGAACCAGGTGCTGATATGTGCTTTATGTGTAGCGAGACTCAAAAGGTCACATTTCCTGTCATTCTCTTCATGTGAGATGCCGGAATAGGCAAATGCACTGGAGGAGAGGAAATTGGGGGCGGGGGGTGACTGCTAACTGGTGTGAGCTTTCTTTTTGGGGTGTAAAGATGTTCTGGAAATAGGTAGTGGTGGCTGGTGCACAACTTTGTGAACACTTTAAAAGTGAACACTTTAAAAGTGTGTCACCTGTATCTCAAACAGAAAGGCAGTGAGCGAGGCGGGTGGGCTTGTGAGGTATCTCAAACTGGGAAGGCAGTGAAGGGTTTGGCTTTGCAGGGTCTGAGTCCTGGGGCTGGGGAGAGACTCAGCAGGGTGGCTGTGAAGATTGGAAGAGATAGTTTAAAGAGAGACTGTGCTGACTGTGAACCTCAGTAAGTGGAGGCTGCACTCACAGCAATCAGCGTAATGGGGGAGCAACACAGATGGTTGGTGAGCGACAGCCCCCAGACAGGGCTTGGACAGGTTTTTAGGGGAGAGCCAGGGAAGCCTTTGGCCAGGACAGCAGTGGAACATGAATGGGTGGTGGAGGGCCACAGAGATGCCTATGGATGCTGAGAGTATGATTTGGGGCACCCCTGTAACAGCCCCCCCACACACACACCCCCCCAGAAGGCTCACAGCCCAGTGCCTGGGGCATTGGACAGAAGGGAGTGCCCCAGGCTGCCACCTTGGGACATCCCACCCATCAGCAAAGGACCCCCTAAAGGACCAACTTGGGCTCACCCCAGCTCCCCTGGGGAAGGGGATACGGTTGCTGCTGTCACACTGGTTGCAGCCAGCGTGGACAGTGTCTCCAGGAACCCAGCAGTGTCTCAGGGGCTCACTTGGGGAGCCCTCAGCTGTCCATCTGCCTGGACACTTCAGCTGCTTCCTCTTTGTGGGGCTGCTCAGGGGGATCATGTAGGGACATCACATCCCTCTCCCCGCTCCCGATTGTTCCTTATGACAGTAATAGCAGCCACAAAATTTTAAGGCAACCAGCATATATGGAGCCCTTACTGCATACCAGTCCTTCCTTCATTCACCCAGAGGTGAGAATGTCATTACTTCCGTTTCGCAGATAATAAAACTGAGGCCCAGGGAGATGAAATATCAGCTTAACAAATGCCCTCCCTCCAACATGTTCTCTAGTGCAATGCCTTTCCCTAAAAAAGTAACCAAGTTGCCCACCCCTATCTCCAAGCTGGGAAACTTGAGATAACTTAGATCGGGGAAGGTGCTGAGTCCCATTCTCGGAGAGACGGCAGAGTGGGCTGGGAGCACCGGTTCTGGGTTGGACAGGCCGAGCTTCACAACTTGGGTGATTTTGAATCAGTTCCTTGACTTCTCTGGATTTCAGTTTCCTTATCTAAAAAAAGGATCAAGCAGAATGATAGACACAAGACGGGCAAAGTGCTAGAACAGGCTGCCACATTCGTGGGCCTTGGAGGTAGTGGAAGTAGCAAAGTCCTTAGCACTAGTGATGAACTTGGAAGGTGCTGACTGCTAGGCGCTGGGGCAGAGTCGGTGAAGGGAACAGGGTGAACAGCCTTTCCCGGTTGGGTGCGTCTTCCCTCCTGATCCTTTCTGTGTCACTCCCCATGTGTTTCAGGTGGTGGCAGCTTACTCCTTTGTGGCCAGAAGCAGCCACGAAGTGAGTCTGCAGGCGGGCCAGCCGGTTCTGGTCCTGGAGGCCCAGGACAAGAAGGGGAACCCGGAATGGAGCCTCGTGGAAGTGAACGGACAGAGGGGATACGTGCCTTCTGGTTTCCTGGCACGAGCCCCGAGTCCAGCTCCTTGGGGCTGGAGTCTGCCTTCTTAGGGTGCCCTCCTGGGAGCCCGTGTTGCTAAGGGATGGGTAGGCTTAGAGGGTGCGACCTGGCAGGGCTGCAAGGGGAGATCAGGTCAGGTTGGAGTGAAGAGCCCCCAGAAGGCAGCCAGAGTGGTGGGTGGGACTTGTAGCGTGCCTGGCGTAGGTGGTCATGAGAGGCCGCGGCCAGAACCGCTCACTGCATCTGCAGAAAGAGGGCCTTCCTGCCTGCAGTAGCTCCCAGCAACTGGCCAGGACTCGCTGCAGCAAGTGCCCCCATCCGGGGCTCCCATGGGAGTGGGTCACCCCAGTAACTGTTCCCTATGTGTTGTGTGGCTACAGGGAAGGGATGTTGGAGAAATCTGAAACTGCCCCAGTGGGGCAATTCACTTCCTACCTACTGTATCAGGAGACACCATGGTTGACCAGTCATCTTTAATTTCTCCCTCCCTGCTAGGAGCTGGGTTATCTCAGGTAGCGAGCCTCTGGGAGCTCTTTCTGGCGGGGGAGGGAGGGCTTGTCTGGGCAGTGGCGAGGCTTCCAGGAGACTCCTAGCTGTGTCTGGGAGTGGGTGTGAGCCTGTCACAGTTCTAGAATGTGTGTAGGCACATCCAGAGGCTGTTTCAGGAAAGGGGATTTTGAGGGTGTGTGTTAGGTAGGGTGCAGGAGGCTGTTGGCAGTGATTGTACACCGTTGCCATGTTCTCCCCACTAGGGGACAAAGGGACACACAAATTAAAGAGGAGACTCTGAAGCAGGTGATTAAAATCCTGGTGGGTGGAGGAGCTTGGGTAATGGCTGGGCTTCCTGTTTCTGGAAGAAGGAGAGCCTGGGGAACCCCCAGTGGTTTCAAGAGTTCACCTAGGGCCAGCAGGCAACAGTAGACATGACATCAGTATGTTGTGGAATGTCAGACAGAGGCCCTAACCTCGGGTTGCCATCCATAAAGCCCTAATCACAGGGTAGCAACAAGAATGATATGAGGCCAGTGATGTGGAGGCCATCATGTCATGCAGTACGATCAAACTGCAAATTGCCCTTGGTAACAGGATGTGCTAGACATCGTCTCAAGCACAGCCCAGTCACCAGCCATCCCAGGCTGGCAAATGACAGCAGCATGCCACCACGCCACAGCCAGCCCAGGGCACTCTATAATCGATGTGGTGTCCCTTTCCATGCACCCAGCCTCTGGCTTGGGATCCTTCTTGATTCCACATTCTAGTAGCCAGTCTCTTGAACTCAGTGAGATCGAACCTTCTGTCTTCCTTTTCTAGAAGCAGGAAATTAAATCCCTCAAAAACAGTTCATGTTCAAAGAAGAATAACTGATTGAGACAGATCTGGGTGCAACATGGTTGGCTCGTCACCTCTAGATTTCCACCTTGGGCTGAGATAAATTGCAAGACATTTCATGCAAATTAAAATCCAGTGTATAACATTTAATACAGATTACAAATCTTGGAACCAACCCAAGCTAGAGTATATGTAAAAACAGGTGGCAGTTTAGATTTATTTCTAAGAACATCTCTGTTATAATAACTGGCACTCTGACTCTTAAGAACTGCAAGTGTGTGTCAGACAGTCTGTAAATTACCTCCTGTGGGCTGCTGAAAGTGCGGAGACTGCACAACGCCAGAGAACAGTGCCCACGATCCCTTTCCCAGCCCCAATTCACTTTATAAAGTGCTCTTGACTAATTTCCCTTTCCTTTTCCTGCTCAGATTTTGGATAAAAATAGGAAGCCCAGGGGAGCAGGAAATAAACTAGGTAATCCATGTGTGCATGCTGAGGGCCTACTGTGTGCTGGAGCCCAAGCTCAGGGCTTCTTCCCTGGGAAGCTTCCACCTGAGGCCAGGATCCCATCGAGAGCTTCTGATGCACTTGGTCAGGGTTGTGGCCTGGGCCTCAGAACTCGGAACGCTTCCCAGGTGCCCCTAGGGTGGGCAGGGTCGGTACCTCCGTCCTAGACACGCAGTGCTGTACAAGATGGCCCCAGGGCCAGAAGCAGCCATATGCTGTAAGCTAGGTAGGCTGTGCCTCATCTGAGCTCTGTAGCGGCAGCTTTTGAGGTTGTTTGAAATAGGACAACCTGTTCTGTCAGCTCCCAGAATGTATATTTATTAAGTGCCATTGAAAAGGACATGGACAAAATTGAATGTTCTGATAGGCATAAGGGAGAGAACTGGAATGCCCTGGAACTGATACACTCGGTTCTCATATACTTGGAACCAAATCTATCTCAAAAGGAAAAATGAGAACGTGTTCAGTAGCACAAGGGTTCTGGTTTCTCGTGAACCAGGGCATGAGATAAAAGTCACTGAAGTTTGAGAGAATGCGTATTGAGAAGATGGCGAATGGCCTGAATTTTCTCCAGGGGACTCTGTAATGTGCCTTCTCCTCCCAATCCCCAATTCCTAGAACCAGTGCACTGTGTCTTATTTCTTTCCTTGCTGCACTGTCAGCTGTTAAACTTGCTAAGGTATTTGCCTCAGAACCGAACAAGACCTTTAGGAGTTAAGACTGGTTCACAGTAGATGGAGGCCTCTTAACCTTTTGGATTCCACCCCAGTTTTGGACATGCAGACAAAGTTACAATGTGAGCAGGAAGATGAATGGATTCTTGGTTAATGTGATGAGCTCTAGCTTGGTCAGTAACTTCTGTCAAGGGCTGGGAATAAAGGCTTCAAAGAGGAAAATGTCTGGATGTTGTGTTATCTAACCAGTGGATAATCAGATGCCCCCTTGTCACATTTGTTCACGGGCACTTGACATATATAAAAATGGCACCTTATTCTTACCTGGTCATTCATTTCATGAGCGTCCACCACACCCCCTGGTACCTCTAGGGGTTGGCCTTAGCTGCTGGGAATACAGCAAGAAATCAGACAGGTGGACTAGGAGTCTGCCTTCCCAAAGCCCACAGTCTGGTGGGGGGAGATATATAAGTCAATATCCAATGTGTTAGGAGAGGGGACAGCAGGTGCCCTGGAGTTGGGACTCAGTCCCGACTTAGACGTGGCTGCTAAGGAGGTCTGATGGGTAAATAGAGGTAGGTGAAGCAGGGGAGGGAAGGGCGCCTGCCAAGGCCCAGAGGTCAGAGCAAAATCTGGTGTCAGGGAACTGCAGTGCTGTAGCACTGGCACGTAGGCTGTGGCTGGGATGTGGGTGCAGTGGGAGATGGTGCAGAGGTCAGCACACTAAGAAGCTTTGGGTTTGGTTCTGAGGGCAGAGGAGTGACACCCCCAAAGGTTTATTTTAGGGTGGTTCATCCTGGAATCTCCCTAAGCATCTGTCATGTTCTTCAGCTAATAAATGCTCAATACTTACTGCTCAGACAAACATCCTAGAGGGGTGGGGACATGGATGCCCTGCTTCCATGGAATCTCCCAGCTAGTTGGAGAAAAAGACTACAGTTACCTGAAACCACAAGGCAGGGTGCTGTCAGCCCCAAAGGGGTGCCATGGAGCAGGCTCATAGGTTTTCAGACAATGGGAACGGTGTGGGGGTAGTGATCAGGGAGGTTTCCTGGAAGAGGTGGAGGCAGGTGCTACACCTCATGGGATTAGTGGGACAGGGGAAAACCAAAGAGAAAGCAGCCTGGGGGCAGTCTGGCAATGTGAAATCGCAGGGCTCCTGATCTTAGAACACCTGGGTTAAGGCCTCCTTTGCCGTCAGCAAGTGCAAGTACACTTCTCATGGTTTCTGCAGATAAGGAAGTTAGATGGGGGTTCTCACCCTATCCTGTCCCTGCCAATCAACCCCCAAAGTATTCAATGTAGAGTTCGGGTTTATCTGAGTCCTGTGACTCCCTCCACCAGGATCTAACTTCCAGAGTGAGAGGAATCACCTTAGGCCCTGTTTTGGCAGAATCGACTATAGCCTAGGTCACATGGGTAAGAGTCAGCTTCCATTCCTAGCGAGGAGCTGGCATCCTGAACAATTCATTCACTGAACTTGCTCATCTGTTTTCTTATCGGTAATTTCTGAACTTACCTTTTCTATTTTGTCATCTGTAAAACAGGTGCAATTCCTGTTTTCATGGGGTAGGTGAGAGATTAAATGAAACAATTTGCATGAATGGCTTTCGTCACATCCGGATGTCCCTGCTGTGCTGTGACAACCTGTGCGCGTGACCACCAGATGGCAGCAGGGCTCCACAACCGGCTGAGGGGAGCTGGGCAGCACCTGGGTTCTAACCTAAGGGCCAGAGGGCCAGGCAGCAGGCGCAAATGAGTGAAAGACCAAGTGAAAGACATTAGGGAGTGGTGGGGCTGTCTTGGACTCGTGTGCACACTCATTCTAAAGGAGTTGGAAGCTATTTGGCTCTAACCAATAATGGTCACATCAGAATGGTGTCAGTCTGGCTTTTCAAGAGAAGCCAGGAACCAGGGTTTTCATTTATTTTTTTTTTTTTATGTGAAACCTCCTGTGAGGAAATTGTGTGGATCACAACAGGCCCCCTATTTGCATCCTCTGCCTGAGTGTGGGTGGAGAATCTCCTCTGAAAAAAGATTAGTATCCTGTCTTTGTTTCCTGTGAGTTGCCTTCACGCATCCTCACTTCACTCATTGCTGCCTCAGACATTCATTTCCCTTCCTCAGGTCTCCCGGGAGTCCCATATCCTTTCATGCTTTTGTTACTTACTAGATTATTTTATTACTAGACTATTACTAGATTTTCTGACACCCCCCCCCATAGCCAGTGGGACACCCCATAGTACCTACTTCACAAGGGTCTTTCGAGAATTGTAAACAAGACACATAGAAAATCATTTAGCCCAGGCTCATCAATGCTGAATAAACACAGTTCTCATTATGAAGACTTTAGAAGGATGGCAGGACATTTGGAGAATGTGTGTGGGGCCCGTCTCCCTTGTCTCAGGGATGGTCACCAGGCCGGGGCCCTCCCCTATGTCAATGAAACCCCTGGTCTCAGGTCCTGACTGGGGTTGGGCACAGCCTTTCCCTCAGAGTCACTCTCTAAAGGCATTTCTGGGACTTTGCCTCCTCTGCCACCCCTGGTGCTTCAGGGCATGTCGGTTTCCCATCCAAGGCAATGCCCACGGGCTCAAACAACCCTGATTCTGCACCCCCCTCCTTTCTCCAGCAACGGGGCTTTCCGCTGTCCTCTGTGGCAAATGTGCTAACGAGGTAGGTAATTGAGCAATCATCAGGCACACAGGTACTGCTGGGGAAGCTCCTCTGGCGTAGGCTCAGGGGTCTTTACCGACAGGAGCCGCGTCTCATGGTGTTTCCAGGGGCATCCAGAGCCTTTGGGGTCTAAAGTTCTTCGCTGGAGTGCAGCAGGTTTGGGAGCAAAGAGGAGGGACCTTGTCCTCGAGGATTCTGCCTTAGAGCGGGGCTTGGGAGCATCAGCTGCTGCTGGTCAGTTAATACCGGGGTCTCAGGCAGCCCCCAGTCTCCAGGACATTTTGAATTGGCTCTGGGTTCCCATCTGCCTCTCTGCCTCTCTGCATCCTTGGGTTTGGTTCATGGAAACCGAGCTTTCAAGAAACAGTGGCTGCAGGTTGGGACAGCGCCGAGGCACAGGAAGGGGCCGATCTTCTCTATGATCCGCTCCTACTGGAGGCCCTCCCTCAGGATCCCAGGTCCTGTTAGCCAGGCTGGCTCTGCTTCCCATTTCTGTCAGGTGGCTCCAGAGGCTGGATGCTGAAAGCGCCGCCTCTTCCCCAAGTCCCTCTAGCCTAAGGAATAAGATGTCTTTTGTTGTTGTTAATCTCTGGGGCTCTTCTCCATCTACTTTCACCCGTGCAACCCCCTCCTTATATTCAATTCCTTTGTTCAAACTCTATAGAGTAATTCTCTTTCTGATGGGATAGTGGCTAATAGGCTGCTCAGGAAATGGGGGTGCAGGGAGGGACTGACTAGTGGAACTGGGGGCTCCACCCTTCAGACTTCCCTGGGAGATACCTGTCCTCAAATGTTCCCTTGGCTTCCTGGCCACTGGCCTCCCCCCTCATCCCTGGGGAGTGTGTCCTGGGGTCATTTCCCTTCAGGGAAGATTGGAACCACCAGGTCTGTCTCGTCCTCTCCACACGGAGTTCTTGGAAGTGTCTTGAGATGCAGAAAGATCCGGGCTCAGTTGCTGTGAAAGTCAGTTGAGCCACCCCCGGTGCTGGTCCCATGAGGCTGTCCCACAGAGCCCAGAGCCGAGACGCAGAGAGACACACAGGCCACTGTGTGAGGGGAGGGCAGGGGGAGAAGATTAGTGTCTGACTCGGAGATTTCCCATCTCTGAAGTGGGGTAGGCCTTCTGGCCAGGAAGAAGCTGCTGGTTGTGCTTCTGGGGTCTTGGGGCACATCAGCAGACCCTCAGCCTGTAGAAAGACCAGCACACTCACCACCACTTCCAGTCCCTACCCCCAGGGCTGTTGGAGGGTGACCTGAGGAAAATTTGCTCTACATGGTTAAGCCAGTGCCTGGCACATAGGACACGTTCAAGAGATGCAAGCTAAACAAAAAAAAAAAAAAAAAAAAAAAAAACCAAATACAAATCTCAAGAGCAGCCACTGTGGACTTCATTCTGCAGACATTTCACAGCCCCAGCTGTGTGGCAGTTAGATTGAGCTCTAGCCCTCTTCCTTTTAGGCCGGGCCAGGGCTAGGGATGCAGGTTCAGCTGCCAGGGCTAGAAGAGGGTCAAGTCAGGTGACAGAGTTGGGAGGTTGGGAGGGCATAGTGATCCCAGGACACACTCCCCAGGGATGAGGGGGGAGGCCGGTGGCCAGAAAGCCAAGGGGACATTTGAGGACAGGTATCTCCCAGTGCCCAGGCAGAACAGAATCAAAGGTCAGGTCAAAAAGTGGAAAGAAGGGTCACAGACTTTGGATTGAGGCCCATTAAAGAAACAGAGATCATGGCAGGAGGCAAAATTGAGAACCAAGTACAGGGTTGGGGTCCAGCTTTTGGCACAGGGACTAATTATTGATCCCTGGGTCCAACCTACAGCTGCTTGAAGCCCATCCATGGGAGGAAGGACAGGGCTGGCTCTAGGGAGCAAGGTGTGCGGGACCTGGGAGAGGGTCTGGAATGAAGCAGCAGCGGTGGCAGTGATCATGAACCCAGAACTCATTGTGTAGTGCCCAGATTCAAAATCCTGACCCCATGCTTATCAGCAATGTAACCTCCTCCTCCTCCTTTTTTTGGGGGGTAACCTGCTTGAACATCTTAAGTCATCTCCCTAAAACCTTACTTTCCTCTTTGTGTGTAAGCCAGGCAATAGTCCTCCCTCAAAGGGTTGTTGGGATGTCAAAAAGGAAAAGGCATTTGTCACTGTACCTGGGATGCATGAGGTGCTCACCAAACAATTGAGCAGACAAGCCAGTTCCGCTGTCTCCTACCCCCTCTTGATATTCCTTGCAATCCCTTGAAAGGCAGTGGCCCCTCATGCCCAAGTTCTCTCTTCTCTGGGCTAACACCCCCATGTCTTCAACCTCTCCTCTAATGGCTGTGTTCCTGACCCTTCACCACTGCAGAATCTGAAAAATACCTTCTTGCCGCGTGAGCGCTCTCAAAACTGAAAGCAAGTGGATGTCTCAAGAGGCCAAAGGTTGTTTTCCTGGGAACAGATTGTGACCTCGACCTCAGATACTCTCTGGTGATTAGAGCCAGCCATCTTGAATTACTTCAGTCTCTCAAGAAGCTTCCCTTTCTGCCTGCGGCTCCCTGGAGGTAGCCTTGCCAATGTGGCTGCTGTTTGTGAGACCATATTTCCACATTTTTTTTTAATTTAAAATTTCTAAATGTTTTTTTTTAAAGAT